TTTATATAATTTAAATATAACAAATGAAGAAAAAAGCCTTAAAATTGTTCATTGTCATGGACCTTCAAACCCATTTTAGTGCTTTTGAGAATTGCTTAGAGAGGCGATAAGCTAAAAAGAATATTTGATGCATGATTTCACTACATGTACAGGGTATTTTCATAGTTGAAGGCATTGGCATATATGTGTTAGCCTGTCAAATGTCTTTGACGCCAAATTGACACATCTTGTGTAGTCAGAGTCGTGGATCTGCTCGGCACTGCTTAAATAGTGTGCTAAAATGTGGTACGTGTGCCCAGCTCTATCAGCAGCGTTGACGTCTTTCTTATCTGAGCATTGGCTTAACAGCCTGCCTGCTGCCTGCTGCCGTTGCCTGCTGCCATCTTTAATTTCAGTTGCAGGTCCTTGAGCGAGAAAGTTTGTGTAGAAATTTATCACAGGCGCAAATCAATTTTCAACACCTTGCCGCAGGCGGTGTTGTGCGTGTGAACAGATTAGCCAAGTAGCTAGCTAAAAAAAAAAAAAAAGGAAGAATGAAACGAATGAAAATCAAAGCCAACTTTTGCTGCCAGATGCCTGATGCTGGCGAATGAGGTATATTTGACGCTGTGGCAAAGATAACCCTTGCTGCAGTCACTTGCCTACAACTTTTAGGCCGGCAGCATTAGCTTTCATTGGCTGTGCGGCCACGCCCCGTATTTTATGCCTATTTTATGCGCATCAGGACAAAATTGCGTACGTGTTGTAATTTTTAAAACATTTCTCTTGTACTATTTCTTGGGCGCTGTTGACATTTGATGTTCGCACGAACGGACTCGACTTAATCTGGCGCCAAAAAAAAAAAAATAAATAAAGCAGAAGAAGCGGAAGAAGAAGAAAAACTTGTCAAATTTAGGTCAAGCGGTCAAGTGTTCTATGTTGTTGCTGGCCTCTTACGAGGGTTTTATGTTGTTTGCCTGCAGTGGCCCGCAGTTTTGTTTTATGACCATAACGGGGCGGTTAAGGCATGTGCGGAGAGGGTAGGGGGCTTGTTACTCTATGTAGTATGTCTTTTGGGGGTTGTAGCAGCTGTGTTTGTCTAAGAGCTAAAGGATTCGTGTGTCAATATTTGAAAACTTTGCTCAAGATGAATTTACTTAACATTTCACAAGTATTGCTTGCAGATATACATGTGAGGAGGTTTTCTTTTTTATTTATAAATATTTTTTATTTGTATTTACTTATTATTTTAAAGGCAAAATTTAATGCTACACTGCGCTCTGTATGTCCCATTTCTTATTGCTTTTAGTGTATTAAGTTTCCAGTTAAAGTTCTTCCATTCTAAATATAAATACACACCTCGAACCATTCACAAATCTTGTAATTTGTAGCCTAATTCACGCCAAATTGCGTGGCATTTACAAGTGGGCCATACGAAACGCCCTCAAAACCTGACAACTATATCCGTTATTCGCAAGCCAAAAGAAAAGCAAATAAAATATGCGGCAAAAGTTTAAAAAGAAATCGTGGCCCTATGTAGGCTGGTTCTTCTTGTGGGCGTGCTAAGACCGCCCCAGACATAAATTATTATCACACCAGCCGCTGACATTGACCCAAAAAATATATATATACAAGAAATAAAAAAGGTTTGTCTCACAAATTTGTCGGCCGTGGAAAATTGTTCGAAAGGAAAATGTGAAAAAGAATTTATGCATCGATTTCCATCGAAATTTCTGTGCCTTGGCCCAGAGAACAGAAAGCATAAATTATTTAAGGAATTGTAATTGCAATTCCAATTGCAATTGCCATTGCAATTTGCCAGGAATTTGTATTGCATAAATAAACGGCCATCAGAGGTAAATTTAATTAACTTACGGCCAAACAAACAGCACGTGACGTATACGTAATGTGTGTGTGTGTTTGCCAGACTGAAGTCGCCTGATTAAATTAGCTAACGCATCGGCTAATAAATCGATATATCTTTGCCTTAATTGCCACTGCCAATCAAAATGGTTGCCAAAATTTTACGTTAAAATGCACTTAAATTGCAAGGAGCAGGACGAAAACATTTCATTCTGGCAAATTTTGCAATTTGTGGCCGATTGGCAGACAGGCAGGCAGGCTGGCAGGCTGGTCTGGTCTCGCTCCGGTCACGGCAACAAAATTGTTGCCCAAATCTGATTAAGGCTGCACAGTTTGGCTAAGCGATTTATGAATACCAATGACTGCGTGCCTGAGTGCAAGGATTACGTATGTCTCCCGTTTGTCTGTCCGTTCTGTCCGTTTGTGTGTTGTGCATAAGCTGCTTGCCCGCAGGCCAAACTGCGTTG